TGCCGAGCTCGAGCCGGGAGACGTAATTGGAGTGTCTGCCGCGCCGCTACTTCGAGTACCGGTGGGGCGGCACCATCTTCGATTCCTACCGGCCCCACGACATCTACATCACCACCTCGGGTCAACGCCGTTGGCCCCAAGTCCGGGACTCACCGCTCTCCGGACCCAGCCTCCGCCCCGCCTCCTCCGAAGCCGCCTCCACAAGAACTACGTGACCGCTTCTCTGAGGCACAGCGCTCCAGCTTCATGCGCTTGTGGGCTAGGCTGCCCGCACATATGCACGACATCGCTTTCGATCTACACAATCCGGGATGGACACCGGAGGCTATTGATCGTTTGGCCGACGCCCTTGTGGAGTATTCTGACGTGTTCTCTACTTCGAAAACCGATTTTGGTTCCTGCACCATCATGCCGTTCACGCTTTCCGTCCCAGCAGGAACGAAGCCCGTTGCATCACGCCCGTATCGTATCAACTCGTTGATGCAATAGAAAGTGGATGCCGTTTTGGACCAGTACTTGGCGGCAGGGCTCATTCAACATTCCACATCTCCGTGGGCTTCTCCTTTAGTTGTCATCCCCAAGAAGGACGGATCTGTTCGCATCACCGTCAACTACAAACGTCTCAACGCTCTGGTGGATTTGGATGGACAACCTCTCCCTCGAGTGGACGGTATCTTGGATTCTCTGTACACCGGGAAAGTGTTCTCCATCTTCGACCTCGACTCGGCTTTCCACCAGATCGTTTGTGATGAAGACACTGTCCCGCTCACCGCCTTTTGCACTCCCACGCAGTTGTTCGAATGGCTTCGGATGCCGCAGGGCGCCAACGCAAGTCCGTCTTGGTTCGTCAAGGTCATCAACAGAGTGGTGCACGGTCTGGAGCGTGTGCTGGCTTATCTGGACGATGTCATCTGTTTCGATGAGGAACCTCTGGGACACGTGCTGAACTTGATCGAGTTCTTCAAACGACTGCGACAGTACAACCTCAAACTGTTTCCAGGGAAGGCTCGCGTCGGCGCCACGCATGCCAACTTTCTCCTTCACACCATCTCTCCGGCAGGTGTTAGCCCTGATGGCGTCAATGTTAGGGCGCTCACGCACATGCCGCCGCCGACGAATGTCAAGCAGCTTCG